TCCATACAAAAACTATAAACCTACTTTTGCCCAGCCCTGTATACTGCAAGACTTCCAAGTCTTCCACAGACTGGGACCTGTTTTTATTTACCATGACCATGGAAAAGGAAATATTCAGAAGCTTCTGAGAGTTATCAGATTCTGGCTCAGAATTGATGTTAATCCTTGGAGACCCATGGCCAAGAAAGTAAATCGAAGTGTTGTAGGCTGTTAGACAGACATGAGCAGAGCAAGGACAATAGGCCAGGAGAGTGGAAAAGTCCCAGGTGCCTAGCATCAGGCAATCAATAGTATGATGGCACCTCATCCTCAGGGTAACTTTTCCTCTCTTAGTATGTCGCTGGTCAAGAGGTTTGGACCCCCTGACCTTTCCTCCCGAGAGCTAACGGCTAGGCCTCAATTGTATTTCAGCTCCAGACCCATTTAAGCAACAAAAACTGACCATGGCTGACATCAGGACCAGCTGTACTGAATAATGACCACTTGCCCTGGCATCTAACAATAAATCAATGGAGACTATAACCCTGAAAGGACACACCTGAAAAACTGCTGAATATTCTTTGGGAGGCAACATATATCATATTTGGGCATGCTGCCCTAACCCATTTACTGAGTACCCTGTAAGGTTGCCAGTTTTGAATGGGATCTGAAGCAAGAAAAGTTTCTGCAGCAAATCTCACTGCAGTGCATGCTGCCCTGTTACTTGGGCTTTAGGACTCTGCAGAACTAATGGTTTTGGAAGAGTCTGTGGCAGAGAAGTTCTATGAAGCCTAAATAGAAGCCTTTGCAGCACAAATCCTTAGGGTGTTAGAGTAAGACCATGCTTTCCTTGCTTGGAAAACATTTCTCCATCTGACAGGCAATGCCTGGATTGCTACTAGGTCCTGGTACTCACTGGATTCCTGATCATGGAACACCAAGAGACTATATGACTTGTACTGCCCACTGTGAACTGGATATTATCTAATCCACTCAGTCATCAAAAGGCTATATGCAGCAGCATTTCATTGTTAAATAAAAATTGTGAATGAAATCAGATCACGGCAAAATGGAAAGGTAAAAGTAAAGTGAATGAGGAAGAGGCTCAGACTCTCATAGTACTTGCTCCTACTGCATCACTGCCTCTCCATCAGCCTACATGTAGGGCCTCAAGGAGATTTATTCAAGGGCAGAGGCAAGGATTTGGCTGGATGAAAAATGTGGAAAGAACAAGATAGGAGTTCGGTGATAAGGAAGCCTAAGAAAGATGTATATGCCTAGGCCTCTTATAATGGGCTAGAGCAGTAGTCAGCAAACTCATTAGTCAGCAGAGCCAAATATCAACAGTACAACGATTGAAATTTCTTTTAAGAGCCACATTTTTTAAACTTAAACTTCTTCTAACACCACTTCTTCAAAATAGACTCTCCCAGGCCGTGGTAGTTTGTGGAAGAGCCACACTCAAGGGGCCAAAGAGCCTCATGTGGCTTGCGACCAGGGGGCTAGAGTGTAAAGATGTTGGTGTTCCACATAATTGCCCCCAGAGGACATCCACTGTGAAAGAGGCTCTCAGTAATCAGATGAACAAGATCACCTATTCTGTTGACGTTAGCCTCTTCCTTTGGCTACCCTAGAGCTTGCTCAGTAGGCCAATGTATAAATTGGCTGTGGCAGCTGGGATAGGGTGTATATATGTGGTCTTCCCTCACCAAAGCTAATCTATCTACCACCATTTTGAATTGTCAACTTGCTTATCAGCAGAGACCAAAGGCTGAGGCACCAACATTGCACCATTCCCCCAGGCAGGGGAACAGATAGATATTTAGTGGCAGATTGGTTACACTGAAACCATTCCATCAGGGGGGAGGCACCAACTGTCTTTACAAGAACAGATGCATATTCTGAATACTGATTTGCTTTTTATGCCTGAAATGCCTCTGCCAGCACCACCATGTGGACTCACAGAATGCCTGATTCATCACCATGGTATCGCACCCAACACTGCTTTCAACAACAACAACAAAAAAATCAGTTGAGCCTGGAGGAAGTGTGGTGATGGGCTCATCCCCATGTAATGTACTGGTCTTATCACACATCCTATCACTCAGAAACATTTGGCTTGATACGAGGGTGAAATTTCCTGCTGAAGGCTCAGCTATGGCACTAAAGCCTGAAAGGTTGTGGTACTGTCCTACAGAACCTAGTATATGCTTTCAACCAGTAGCCAAAATATAGTGTGTCCCACAAAATGTATGCATACACTTTGAATAATTATAAAAGTAGTGTTTATTAAAATACATTTAATTTTCAAAATTGAGCTATCAGCTGTTAAAGTGTGTATCCATTTTTGGGAGGGACACACTGTATATATTTTCTCCCTTGTAGCAAAAATGTGTGGGTCCAGGATTCAAGAGGTAGAGGTGAGGCCCTGGCCAGCATGGTTAGGTGGTTCGAGTGTCAGACTGCATGCCAGAGGGTCTCAGGTTTGATTCCCTGTCAAGGGCATGACTTGGGTTGAAGGTTTGATCCCCACTTCACCTCCCCCAAAGGCACATGTGGGAGGCAATCAATATGCCTCTTTCACATTGATTATTCTCTCTCTCTCTCTCTCTCTCTCTCTCTCTCTCTCACCCTCCCTCTCTCTCTCTCTTCCCTCCCAGTGTCTCTCTATATAACCCAGGTCTATATGTATAACCTCACTCCTCAGATGAGGAGAGAGAGAGAGAGAGAGAGAGAGAGAGAGAGAGAGAAAGATAAATGACTGAAGAAATATTTGTTTCCCATCCTTACATCTTGGTTTCAGTGGGATAAGAGGTTCTAATGCTCATATCCCACCCCCACCTCCAGGGAAGGTGTTAGATTCTGATGTTTCAGAGGCTGACACTGCCTTTTGGCCATTTTGTGCTCTTCACGCTGTTGAATGAACAGGCAGACAAGGGGGCATTGTACAGACCAGAGTGGTCTACTCTGATTACCAAAGGCAAATTAGGTTGGTACGACACAATGGAGGAAAGAAGGACTACATCTAGAAGCCAGAGTCTCCACTAGGGTACCTCTTATTACTCCTGTGCTCAATAATACTGACCCATGAAAACTGGTAACCTAATCAAGGTAAGATTATAAAAGGATGAAGGTTTAGTTCACTCGACCAGGTAATGTATCTTGTTTTACTGTGATACTAACAGAAGGCATGGGAAATATGGAGTGCAGAGGAAGCTATGATTATCAATTTAGAACATGCTTCCAGCTCCAGAAGCAGGTATTATATCAACTGTGTTTTAAGTTTATAGCCTTCTTTCCCCCTTCTACTTTGTATTGAAAGCACCGGTGGTGGCTAATATTTTCGATTTCATGTGGGAGTAAGATGAATTGATATCACCCTGTAATGATACTGCCTGATGGGACTTCGTACATTCTGTTTGAGGGCCTGGGTTTTTCCTCTGGACAAAGGGCTAGAGTAGTATAGAGGGGCAAAAGGAATGGTCAGTGCTGGAAATTCTGTTTTTCTTTTCAAAATCTATTTTCCACCCTGCTCTGTTTTTTTTGATCCATATCAGCTTCATTTGCCAGGCTCCCTTGCATTCTGGCTTCCAGTAGCCATCAGCCAATGGGAGGTATCAGCAGATCAGATAATGGAGAAAGAGAAAGGTCAAGGTATTTATTTCCTAGATTCTCTGCTGGGATGTGAACTAGCAATAATTTTACTATATAAGGTCACAGCTCCTGTTGAATGTATCTTTCCTTATTATTTTGTTTTATTTTACTTTTCCTTATTCCTTTGGTTTTTGCTAACCATTCCCTCCCCTTGCCCCTTCAGGCCCCAGCCATGCACATTTGTTTACTCATGGTGATTGATGAATGCACACATTACTACCTATTCAGTATAAATTTAAAATTACAGTAATACATATAGAAAAGTTTTCTGTGAAATTAAACTTTCCACACACACACTTAATTATACAAATATGTCTACATAGGTAAAAACAGGTAAACGAATTTTTAACATACACATAAAAAAACCCCTACTTTATTATATAATGAACTTTCAGATTTAACAGGCACCCACTTGCCCGAATTAGTCTGTAATAATTGAGGTTTTACTGTACTTCCAGTACCTGAGGTGGTGCTTTACCATCTATTTGTTGGTGTCTTAATTCTACCCACACCCTTATGCATGGTTCCTTCATTAAAATCTCTTTAATAATATCCTTTGAGTATGTCATCAGTTTCCTGTCATGAACCCAATCTATACAATTCCTAATATTTCTTTATATGTAGCTTCTCTCTTCTTTTTATAATCAGTTTTGCCAGATGTTTGTCAGTTTTATTAGACCTTTCAACCAAACAATTTTTGTTTGTATTGATCTTTTCTATTGGATATTTTCTTTTTCTTAATATTTCTATCTCTCACCCTCTCTGAAATCAATAATAAAAAATATTAAAACAATAAAATAGAAAAGAAATTAACATTTTGGCCAAGTAGCAGCTCAGTGTTAGGATATCTTCCTGATATGCCAATGTTTCGGGTTAGATTCCTGGTCAAAGCACATACAAGAAGCAGTCAATTCATAAATAAGTGGAACAACAAATCAATGTTTTTCTCTTTCTCTCTCCCCCTTCTTCTCTATCTCTAAAACCAATAAACAAACAAATAAACAAACAAAGAAGTAAAAAATAGCACCAATAATGCCCTTTTTAGCAAGGGAAAAAAATGTTTTTTTCCAGCTGGGGATCAATTGTCATGTCTGTAGTTTCCATTAATCTGGAAGAGTTCTTTGTCTTTTTTTTATTTTATTATATTTTATTGATTTTGTACAGAGAGGAAGGGGGAGAGATAGAGAGTTAGAAACGTCGATGAGAGAGAGTCATCGATCAGCTGCCTCTTGCACACTCCCTACTGGGGATATGCCCGCAACCAAGGTACATGCCCTTGACCGGAATCAAACCCGGGACCCTTCAGTCCCCAAGCCATTGCTCTATCCATTGAGCCAAACCGGTTTCGGCAGTTCTTTGTCTTTTAAAAAAATATTTTTATTGATTTGAGAGAGGAAGGGAGAAGGAGAGATAGAAACATCAATGATGAAAGAGAATCATTGATTGGCTGCCTCCTGCAAGGCCCCCTCCCGGGATCCCACCCCTGGACCCAGTCTTGTGCCCCGACAGGGAATCCAACTCTGACTGCCTGGATCTTAGGAGGATGCTCAACTGCTGAGCTTCGCTAGTTGGGCTTTAGTGAACTTGACGATTTTGAACAGTGCAAGCAGAGATTTTGTAGACCGTTCCTCTTGTTTCCCTCATAATTAAATTTAGGCTATGCGAATTTTCGTTATGAAGAATACTACAAAATTGGTTAGTGTTTTTCTTAGCATCTTATCAGGAGGCACATGCTGCCCATTTTTCTAATTTCTGGGGAAGCTTATTTTCATCCCCAGGTGAACTTGTGTCCTCCCGGTTTCCCACTGTAAAATTACTACTATTGATATTTCACCCTTTGAAACAGCATGTGGGCGGGAGATACTTGTGTTTTTTTTTTAATTAAAAAATTGATTTGAGAGAGAGGAAGAAATAAAGAAAGAGAAACATTAATTTGTTCTTCCACATATTCATGCATTCATTAGTTGAGTTTTACATCTGCTCTGACCCAGGGACAAATCCAGAACCTCGGTTAGGGTTGCATGGGAGACACTTTGATAGTAAACAATATAACCAAGTTGTTTCTCAGGGTACTCGCATCTCCTAGTTTTGCCTAATGTGCCAATTGCATGGAGACAGTAGTGTTGGTGGCACGGGCGCTTCAAAGCGTTCCCAGGGCTGATGTCTCTTTTCCTCGCCACATTGTATTCCCTGTACTTACCATGTTTGATACAGTTACTTCTTCCCTGAAAGTAAATTTATTTTACCTCAGCAAGGTGTATTGTAATTGATCTGCTTATAGGACTGTCTTTCCCACAGACGGCAAACTTGGGAAGCCTAGGCATCACGGTTTATTGTTTTTGATTGTTTTTCGATTCCCGGCGTCTAGCACACTTTAGGTTCTTCAGAAATACAAGCTCGAATTCGTTCCCTGGTGTTGATACTTTGTAAAAAGATTAGGGCTGCGCAGTGGCCTGGGAAAGGGGAAGTGAGGGCTGGGGAGGCGGAAGGCGCGGCCCCGCGACGTCACCCCGCGAAGGGACCCACGGCTCTGGGCGCGTCGCTGGCCCTGGGGCCTCGGGCTTCCGCGGGCCGGGCGGACTGGGGCGGGAAAACGAATAGCTAACTCGCCGTTCCCGGCATCCTCAGGGGGCGGGGCTTCACTTTGACCCCTCGCTCGCGTGCTACACATCCGGGCTCCTGCTAGTAGAGAGGGGAAGATGGCGGCCGCGACGGTGTTGGTTTCCGTAGAGTGGATAAAGAACTGGGAGAAAACGGGGAGAGGCGAATTGTGAGTGTCGGGGCTGGAGGCGGGCGCACGGCCGGGCCGGGCTCTGCTGTCACGGCGTTCCCCCCCTGGTTGGGGGAGGTTGGGGGCGGGGGAGAGATGTGCCCCCTCCCCCATCTGGGCGGCGGGTGTGGACGTCTGGCTAGGGAGTTTCGAACTGAGGTAGTCGAGGTGCCGGTAACCACTGCCGACCTCCTTCCCTCCGTGGCCTCCGTGAAATCTCCTCAGCCCTCGGCGGCCCGCCTTTCGTTAGCCTGATAGCGGAACTCCGGTGTCGCCCCTTCGGGTCCCCGCGCTCCCCTCCGTTTCCTTTTTGTCCCCGTCTTCGCTTGGGCTCCCTCGGTGCCTTTCTCTTCACGGGGCCGCGCCGGGGAGGTTCGGACTTTCCCTCTCTCTCTCTCACGTCCGATTTCTTCCCTCTGCACCCGTTCGATTCCGCATGTCGGAGCCTGGCGCCTCAGCCCGATGTCTGAGGAGAGCGAACGGCCCCGAACCCCCCTCCTCACCGGGGCGTTGCGGGGAGCCCCGCTTTCCCTTCCCGTCCTCCCGGGAGCGGTCTGTCAGGCTGGCCCGGCCTCCGCCGCGCCGCTGCCCGGGGAGGGGTGGAGCAGGGGTTGCCGCTTTCCCGGAAGAACCTACCGGCATTTCTGTGCTCTGTCTTTTCACCTTAGAGCCATTTCGTGTGGGACTCAACTTTGGTCATGAAATGTTTCCTAAACCCCATTTTGTCCTGGGACTGCGACTCATTTTGGCAAGTCTCCAAGGTTCCCGAACACCCAGCATAACGCGATTCGTTTAGTCATAAACTTTTTTTTTTTTTTCAGGCACGCATAGCAGTCATTTGTCATACCCGAGGTTTCCTTGCCCAAAATTTCAGCGCTCCCTTTGGAAACAAAAAAAAAATGGTTCAAGCGGCAAAACAAACCCTAGGTTAAAAAAACAAGACCCAAATCGCTTATTTCTAGTTTCCTTCTTTGAATCGCGTTATTAGCGACAGCTCGATCCTGGAAGCGTGAACTCATAGCCATTTTTACCGTCGTGCCCACTGCCCCTCCCTCTCCCCTCAGTGGTCTGTTTACCGTTGCTGGTGCAGTTTACAGTTGGGACTTCGTTACTTAGAATGAAACTAAACGCAGGGAACCCGTGCGCGTGTAACCTCGGCTGCTTATAGCCCGCCTTCCACTCCCCCCGCTGGCACTCTCACTGTCTCACTGTTTTACCTAACTGTGTGAGCTCTAGAATTCGATTGGCTGAGTAAGAGGCCGGCTTAGCCACTTAACTAGCTGAGTGACCTTGGATAGGTTCCTTAACGGCTTTGACAGTTTCCCCTTGAGTAAATTGGGAATAAGTACTCAAAAGAGTGTTGTGTCGACTAAATAATGCCTGTGAAGCACTTGGCTTATAATAAGTGCTCAAGAGATAGCTATTTAAATCTTTAGATATTTAAACTTACTGCATAGCTCTTGCACTTATAGTCTGTACCACTTAGGTTAGCAATTAATTCGTTCCTGACTCATCTATGGTACTCTGTAACGAATTGAGAGAGATCCCTGAAGAGTGGGGACTGTCTCATTTTTTTTTGGTTCGACTGTCCTGCCTCCCGCCTCCCCACACTTTCTAGCATATGCTTAGAGTGCTTATTAGCTTATTAACTGTAAGAGAAGTCAATTAGATATATATTCATTTCTTAACTTCGGAACATTTTCTAAATCCTCGTACTGCTAGGTAACACATAGCTATTAGGTCCCTTGTGTTCAGGGAAGGCAGGATGGGAAGTTACCAAACCAAACCATCATCTTCATGTATATTAGATTAGGATAAATCAGTTCATTGTTGACTGCTTTTTAAAATACCTTTTATTGAGTTTTAGAGAGAGGAAGGGAGATGGGGAGAGACAGAAATATCAATGTGAGGAATGCATTGGCTGCCTCCTGCATGCTCCCACCCCCCACTGGTGATGAGCCCCAAACCTGGGCTTGTGCCCTGACCAGGAACCGAATTGGCAACCTTTTGGTGTACTGGACAATGCCCAACCAACTGAGCCACACTGGCCAGGGCCACTATTGTTTACTTTTAAAAGCCAACTTACTTATTTAGGTGCTCTCATGTTTGTAGCTTAGTCAGCTTCTTCCTTCCAGCTGTTTTTTGACAGTTTTACTATTGTTACTCCCACCTTGGAATGAGTGGTTTTAGGGCTAGGAGGTGAAATTCTGCTTGGCTTCTGATTGGCAGCCTTTGGAGAAAAACAGTGATGTAGTAAAAATAGAGTTTTGGACTCCCTTTATGTATATTTACACCATCTATGCTGTCATAGTTCCTGTGATTGAAGAGCTGCCTCAAAACTTACGTAACATCTATCAGGCGCCTTCAAACTACGGCCACATGCGGCCCGCAGAGGAGTCTGATCCGGCCCGCCAGGTTTTTTGGGCAGTGAGCGCAGCCGAGGTGTTACAGTAGGAATTAGTAGTTCATATAGTCCGGCCCTCCAGCTCTCTGAGGGACCGTGATCTGGCCCCCACTTTAAAAAGTTTGAGGACCCCTGCATAGTTATTCCATGGCTTGTGGAATGTAATTTGAATTAGATACAAATCAGTATAGTCAGTTTTATAATTGTATTCTATTATGTAAAGAGAGTTTAAAGTTGCTAGTTGTATGACATAATGAAATAATTTAGTCAAACACATCACCGTGAAATACTTTGTTTTCTTGTATTTGAAACTTTGTTACATATAATCTAACCTTGGATTTTTTCGTATCTTGCAAATGGTATTGTAACTATATTACAAAACATAACTTCCTTTGTCTGAAAACAGGCTCTTAAAAATAAACCAGCAACTTGAAATGAAGGTAAGCTTTTTCCATGCTGATAGTGCTCTCAGAAACATAGTGAAAATTCCTACATCACGCTGGACTTTCTGTAAGAAGTGTGGCAAATATCAACCCCACAATGTAACAGTATAAGAAGGGCAAGGATTCTCTTTGTGTGCAGAGACAGCGGTGTTATGACAGGAATTAGAACAGCTATGGTGGACAGACTAAGCAAAAAAGCCTAAAACTACAAAGAAGATTGTTCTGAGGCTTGAATGCTTGAGCCCAACTGCAGATCTAAGAATGCTGGCTATTAAGAGGTGCAAGCATTTTGAACTGGGAGGAGATAAGAAGAGAAAGGGCAAGTGATTTAGTCATAAGCTTCATATTTTGTTATGTGACAATAAAACCTTGAGGATATCTTCTCTTCAGAAAAACCCCACACAAAACCCAAAGGTAATGTGCCACCAAATTATTAGTGAATTGTTTGTAGATTTGGCTTTCAGAATGTGATCGATGTTTAAAATTATATGTAGAGTGGATTTTTCCTTTTTAACAAGATAAATGAGCAGATTAGCATTAACCTAACTGAAAGTTACCTTTTAAAAAATTTATGTTGATTTCATGAAGTTAATTTCTTGCCTGTCACTTCTAAGTCTATTCTGGGAGTTTTAGTCAACTTCAGCATCATATTGGTAAAGCAACATATGAGATATATGGGGCATTTTATAACTTTAAGAGATGACAATTCTTTTTTTTTAAATTTCTTTATTGATTAAGGTGTTACATATGTGTCCTTATTTCCCCTATTACCCAATCCTGCATCCCCCAACTCAGAGAGGGCAATTCTTAATTGGGCCTCATGAAAAGCAACTGCTTATTAAGAGGGAAAGTCTTGGCTTTGAAGAATAAGGTTTGTTAGGTAACTATGTAGGAAAAAACCCTGTATTTTGCTTATCTGAATGGTTCATCACATACCTACCTAACCTTTCAGATATACTGATTTTGTTTTTCATGATAAATTACAGAACTCTTAAAAAGATTTTTTCCAAGACAGAAGAGGACTACCAAAACATAATTATTAAGTGTCCTTTTCAGTAACACGTAGAGCTACTCTTACAAGTTTCACATCTAACTGCAAACTCAAAACTGTGAAATATGCAGGATATGGATTTAACCACTTTAAGTTTGGAATTAGAGTTTTAGTTTTTTGATACTTTCATATTAGCATAGGGCTTGCTATGATTAAGCAAATAAACTTGCCTGTATTGGTAGATCCAGTGGAGATTGTTTTTTTTTTTTTTTTAAATTTTTATTGATTTTTTACAGAGAGGAAGAGAGAGGGATGGAGAGTTAGAAACATCAATGAGAGAGAAACATCGATCAGCTGCCTCCTGCACACCCCCTTCTGGGGATGGGCCAGCAACCAAGGTACATGCTCTTGACCGGAATTGAACCTGGGACCCTTCAGTCTGCAGGCTGACGCTCTATCCACTGAGCCAAACCAGTTTTGGCAGAAATTATATTTTTAGTAAAAATTACTAACATAGTTATTAACTTAGTATTTGTTTGTGTTACAAGTAACCTTGATGTAGAGTTTATGTTACAAGCTCTTAATCTGAAGATGTTAGCCTCATGTCAATACTGAGTCTAATTTTGAAATACATTTGTTGGATATTATCTATTTGTCTGTTTGAAGGACTTGATTCTTTAAAAAATTTATGTATGAATTATAATTTTTAAGTCTTAGTAATTATTGTAGTTATAATAATGTTTTAAAATTTAATTGCCAAATGTTTTGGTTGCCATTTTTATTCTGCTGCTAAATGACTACATGTTTCAGAACATGTGTATGTTCATTAAGTGTTGTTTGATCTGAATTTGTTGGAGGGAAATAGGAAGAGAGACCTTGTGGCAAATAATCATTCTAAGAAATTTTAGTCTTGGTAGTTGAATATTTTTTTTGGTTATTATTATTTTTTCCTTTTCCTATAAAGGTACTCTAAATTCAGCTGAAGCTTTTTCTGAAACCTTCATGTCTTAGTTTTCATTTGGCATTACTTTCTCATTTTGACTTGTATTCACAAGTTATTAGTCTTCGTCTGTTTTTTTTCTTTTTTTTTGGTAAGAGAAATGCATTCTTCAGAAATTGTAGGGGTGTCGAACTCAATCAGAGAAGGGGCCAAAATCTAAAATCCAGCCTAAATCGCGGGCCGAATGGTTTACTGAACAGTCATAAACTGTCATTGTGATGGAAATGCAGCGGAGTGCAGTGATGACAGCGAGGTGTGGGCCACATTGCAAGGCCTGGCGGGACGGATTTGGCCCGCGGGCCTTGTGTTTGACACATGTGCGTTAAAGCAATATTAGATTTTATAGACTATGGCTCTCTTCATTAGAAAAATTAAATTCTACAATGCTAAAATATTAAGGTTAGAGTGAGAGCTATTAATGCACTTGTGTGCAGGAACTTACTGCCTTTTTTTTTTTTTTTTTAACACTTCCTCTTCTGTTTTCTCCATAATGGATGTTTTCATTTTCATAAATGCATATATTTCAAGATAAAACTATGTGTCCCAATATTCATTTTTGTGGTTATATCTCTCTTCTAACAGTGATAATAGAGGTAGCACTTTGCTTAACCAAATTTACTCTTTTTTTGTTCTGTTTTTAAGAATCTAAGTGCAGATTGACATTAATTTTTTCTGTGTGAAACCAACTTTTAGATGTTGATTATAATCAAAGTAGTAGTTCTAGCTTATTTGGTGTTTCCTTTTTTACTGCAAAATTGGAGCAACTAAGATGGAAAACCAAATATTCATGTTAAGAAGTACTCACAAAAATACTTAAATCCTTGATAGAATATAAGACATTTTATTTTATTTCCCCCCCCACAAAATCATGACAGAAAGTAGATTCTGTCTTTATTCTTAGGGACCTAAGACACCATCTCTACAATAGCACCAAACTATTAAAAGTGGAAAAAATGGTAAACTCAATTATTTGGAGGTTATTAAGGGACTGAAATAATCATTTGAATTTGGACTGAGGTGAAATATTTGGTTATTTTAAAAATATATTTTATTGATTTTTAACAGAGAGAGAAAGGGAGAGAGAGAGCTAGAAACGTCGATGAGAGAAACATCGGCCAGCTGCCTCCTGCACACCCCCTACCGGGGATGTGCCCGCAACCAAGGTACATGCCCTTGACTGGAATCGAACCCGGGACCTTTCAGTCCGCAGACCAACGCCCTACCACTGAGCCAAACCGGCTTCGGCAATATTTGGTTATTTTTAAAGTCATATGAAAATGGCTAACTGTTGGAGGTAGTTTGTTTTTCTCCTAATCAT